CTTTCCCAGCCTTCACCTCACCTCCAGTTTATTGCTTGCCATGACTTTGATGTTATCTTGGTTTGTTGGGGAGGAAGTCCCTGGGGCCAGGTTTAGCCTCACTGTTCAGCTCTGCCTTCCCAACTAAGCCCACTCCCATCTGGGGCCCGTGCCCTCTCCTCAAGTGGTTACCTTTTAAGGGGGTGCTCCCTCAGGCTTGTGAGCAGTTTTGGGGGCTTCAGCTGTTGTAGCCTTGGCCCCCTTTTGTCTGGCTACACCCTCAGCCTTGGTCCACTCTCTAAGACCTCAGCTCCTAGGCATCAGCCCTGCCTCGGCAGCAGCCCCTCTAGGATTCCAGTTTCACCTACTGTCTGCAGTATCTCTGGTTTGGGGCTAGCTTCTGGCACCTAAAGTGGGGGGTGCCACCCAGGCATCCCCACTTGTGGTCTCCTCCACCCCTGTATCCACAAGCCAGTCCTCTGGACTCAAGTTCAAAACAGAACATAAACACAGGCCAGCTGCTTCACAAAACAAAAAGTCTCCTTCAATTTAGGTTAATGCAGGCTCTAACTTCCTTGGAGCCATCTCACCCCAGCTTGCATGCTCCCTTGCCTGTCCATCCCCAGCAGCCCTTTTCACCCAAGAGCTCACCTCTGTCCCATGCACAGTCAGACTGGGTTTATCTGCCCAAGTGCAGCCTTCTTCCAGCCATAAGGACATGGAAAATCTTGAGAGAGTCCAAAAAGAGCCACCCATATGATCAGAGACTTGCAAGGCAAGCCATATGAGGAAGGCTGAGGGACTTGGGCCTCTTCAGCCTAAAAAAGAGAAGGCTGAAAGGGGACTTGGTAGCAGCTTACCACTACATCAGGGGAGTACATCAAGGGCTTGGTGAACACCTGTTCACCAGGGCATCTTTGGGGAAAACCAGGAGTAATGTCCACAAACTCCTGGAAGACCATTTCAGGCTTAACTCTAGGAAAAACTTCTTCACAGTCAGGGTGTCCAGATTGTGGAATACATTCGCTCTAGAGGTGATCTAATCACCTACCCTGGATATCGTCAAGAGGAGACTGGACAGTCACCTTGCTGGGGTCTGCTGGGATCACCCAACCCCAGTTGTCTTTCCTGCATAA